GGGCGTGGCCTCTAGTGGAACCAACGCGGTGCAGTCCCTGGGGGGCGGGGCTTACCTGAGAAAGAGGCGCGTCCTTCGTAGGGGGTTGGAGTTTCTGTGTTTAAGAGAGGAACTATTCTCCCCCCCCGCCCCCCGCAGCGATATCCTAACATCAATAAGGGGCGGGGACTGACTCTAGGTAGGGAGCGGTTTATAGTCTTCGTCTATGTTCTGAAGTGGAAGGAGCCCAGGGCTAGACCGTGGCCTGGAAGGAGGGATTGGAAGAGCCTAGTCAGGGCAGGGCCTTGGATTTGCTCCTCCCAGCGGAAAGGCGGCTGAATCCTGCAGAGATGCTCCGATTCCCGAGTGAGGCAAAGCGAGGGGGTGCCGCAGAGCCAACCTGTGAAAGGGGCGGAGTTGCACTCCCTCCCCTGGTTCCATGCTCTAATCAACTGAGCCACCTGGCCAGGGTGGAAGTGACATTTTGAACTGAGGCCCAGAAGAAAAGGAGCTGGGGTGGGCATGTTCCAGGCAGAAAGAGAGCAGCAGGTGCATTGTCCCTTGGTCAGGAAAGAGCTGGTTGGGGCTCAGTGAGGGGCTCAGTGTGGCTAGAGAGGAGTGAGTGAGGGCAAGTGGCAGGAGATGCAGGAGGGAAGTCAACAACAGGATGATGCAAGAGCCTTTTGCTTGGGGGCGGGTGAAAGCCCAGATTGTAGGCCACGGTGAAAGCCCAGATTCTACTCCCAGGGGGACGCCACTGCTGTTAGAAGGAACATGCACCTGATTTCTGTTTAAGGAGCTCTCTGGCCACAGCTTGGAGAGGGACTGGAGGGGAGTGAGCGCAGTGTGGAGGTCGTGGAGGCTTTGGGGATGATGAGTCGGATACAAATACCGACTCACGTTGTACACCTGAAACTAATGTAATGCGGTATAACAATTATACCTCAATTCTAAAAGAGCAACAAGAAGCCCTGACCGGTTTGGCTCAGTGGATAGAGCGTCGGCCTGCGGACTCAAAGGTCCCAGGTTCGGTTCCGGTCGGGGGCATGTACCTTGGCTGCAGGCACATCCCCAAGAGGGGATGTGCAGGAGGCAGCTGATCGATGTTTCTCTCTCATCGATGTTTCTGACTCTCTATCCCTCTGCCTTCCTCTCTGTGGAAAATCAATAAAAAAAAAGAGCAACAAGAAAGCACTTGGATTTGGGACCTATTTTATAGGTAGAATTTGGTGCATGTGCTGGGGGATGGGTGGGGGTGTGAGACAAGGGGAGCCACCAAGCTCAGCTCCCCAGTTTTTAGCCTGGTAGGTGAGGGTCGTTTGCTGAGATGTGGAAGACCGCAGCATGACCAGGGTTAGGTGGAGAAAAAGCCGAGGTGGTGAAAGTGAGATCCAAGCAGGGAACTTCCACTGTCCAGGAGGATGTTTGTTCTTCCAATTGAGTAGGCTCATTTCCCGCCCCAGGGCCTTTACACTGGCTGTTCTCTCCCGATGGGGGGCAGTGGGGCAATGGCCTCCTCCCATAAGTTCACATATGGGGCCTTTCTTGGCCTTTTGCCTTTGGCTCAAATGTTACCTCCTGTCCTAACCAGTTTGGCTCAGTGGATAGAGCATCAGCCTGTGGACTGAAGGGTCCCAGGTTTGATTCCAGTCAAGGGCACATGCCTGGGTTGTGGACTCGATCCCCAGGAGGGGGCGTGCAGGAGGCAGCTGATCAATGGATCAATGATTCTCTATCATTGATGTTTCTCTCTCCCTTCCTCTCTGAAATCAATTTAAAAAAAAGTCACCGCCTTGGTGTCCTTCCTCAACCACCTGTCCCTCCAAGGCCACCGAACCCTTCATCCACCCCCATGCTGAAGGCTCTTGCATCATCCTGTTGAAATCCTGACTAGCACCTGGAACTATTGATAAATTTCTATCTAACCAAACAAACTGTGGGCTCTAGAAGGGCAGGGTCTGCATCTTACTCACTGCTTCATCTGCAGCCGACACAGACTCTATAAATGCAGTGTGAGTGATTAAAGGGGTCCCCTCTGGAGTTCGCAACAGACCCTGTGCACGGTTAGAAGGAGTCATGAGATACAGTCCCCACCCTAAGGGTCTCAGAGTCTTGCTGGAGGGAGAGATGTCCGCCCGATCCCTTAGCCAGAGCAAGGGCAGGGCAGGCCTCCCAGAGGTGAGCGCTGGGACTGCTTGGGAGGACCAGAGGGTGATGCAGCATGTGGAGGCCCTGGAGACTCGCGAGGTACGAACAAGGATCAATAGCCTATTTGATAAGAGATACTCAGCGGCAGAAACGGACAGTTCCCGATGACTGAATTCTATCCAAGGGGACGTTTAAGAAGCCATTCTCACTCCAGGGGACAGAAACGAAAAGACAGGCGTCCCGCAACGCGGTGGGCCTCCACTAGGCGGCAATGAGTCCTCCTTCTTGTGAGGCGCTTCGCGAACAGGAATAACGGCTCTAAGCGGCTTCCGTAGTTCGCAACAGACCACGCCCGGGACTAGGGGCCGCGAAGGCGGTCATGTGACCAAACAACTTCCGGTCTCCCTCCCGTTTTTTTTTTCGAGCACTGTTTGCTGTGCTCTTGTGGAGAAGCGCGTGCCAGGTACAGCGTTTGTGGCCCCTGAAGGCTGGCCTGGGGCTGCTCTGATCCGAGCGCGGCGGCGGGGCATGGAGGGCCCCCCGG